ATACCAACACCTTTGTAATTGAAGCATAACCAGATTCCTATCGAGCCTCCTCCACTTTGTACAGTCGGTCTAATGTACCTGGCGTAATACTTTTCGTGAGCCATTCTTTTGACTGTTATGTTAAATTTGCGATTGATAAGCTCAAAGTTACTCTCATCACTTCACATAATGTTTTCCCATTGTTCTATTGTCCAATACCTTCTTTCACGACACAATTTTAGTTTCCTTTGTTTATCATATGGACGCAGAAGCGGTTTCTTTAAAGCAGTTTAGACTCCAATCTTGTATTTGATAAGTATTTGGCGGACTATGCTTTGAGAAGTAGATGTATTTCGCGTTGTATTGAATTCTGTGGTCATTTCTTTGTAACTAATTCTTGGATTAGCTCCGACAGCTCTAAAACGAACACTGTCGTCCTTTCTAATGGTTGACAAGGGTCTACCTGGCCTCGTTTTCTCGCTAGCACCACCAGTGTCAAGAAAGTTTTGTTTCGTTGTCCGAACGTATTTCTCAGAAAATCCAATTAACTTTGCGATTTCTCTATTACTTTTGGTTCCTTCTTTGATGTGCGCAATAATTTGCCATCTTTCACCTTGGGTGATACGTCTTTTGCCCATTTTTCACGTCTTTTTAGTGCAAAACTAACTTAACTTTTGTTTATTTATTAAATAATGATTAACTAATTCCAGGTAAGTCATATTTATATGAGATTTTTTGACAAAATCAATTAATTTAGGCCTTTTAATAAGAAATATGGGAAAAAACTACTAATTAACTATCAATTAACAAGATATGAGACTTTTTTGATTGTGCGTCTAAATTTATGAACAAAATAAAATCAAGCTTGTCGGTTAACTTTTTTGTGTTGATCGGTGTGGAGTGGGTGATGAACGTCCTGTGAAGAAAATTAAGGTACTCAATAATAGAGTTTTATATATATATACATATATATATATACATATATATATATATATATATATATATATATATATATATATATATATATATATATATATATATATATATATATATATATATATATATATATATATATATATATATATATATATATATATATATATATATATATATATATATATATATATATATATTTAAAGTCATTTGTCATATTTCCAATTATACCATTTCTAAAATATACCATTTCTATGGGTATTAATCTAGCGGCTTGTAGAACGTGTTGTAACAATGTAAGCACATAAAGTCATTATTGAAAATAGAAAACGCTAGCTGCTCCTAAGCGGCTTATAAAAATTGTTTTTTTCAGCTTGTGCTTACAGGAGCAAAATCAATATGTTGATTGTCATGTAAACAATACTGATAAATCATTAATACAATAAAGCTGCATTGCTTAACTTAATGATAGTCTCGTGTTGAAATATGCTCATCCCAATAAAAAGAAAGCTATTATTTATAAAGAAGTCCGTAGTCTATGGAACTCATTAAAGGAAGAGAAAACTTAAGCATAAGGATCTTAAATCCAGGTTATTGTATATAACCAATTCATTCAATAAAAAAGGCAATCAAGTTCAAAAACAACCAATTGTCTTTTTGGGCCGATATTTTAAAACAGTGTACAATATTTCAAAACAGTAAACCCCACGTATATTCCTCTTGACTTTGACAAGTTTGTAGAACCCATCATGAGCGATCTTCTATTAGTAATCAACAAGTCTATTAACTTGCAATTTGTCGACCACTAAAAACAAAAATAAAACAAGAACAGTGGCTCGAGATTGTATTAGTTCTAAAGAACTGTATTAAAACTAGAGAACTGAAAACAGCTAGAATGGAAGAAATTTACTTCTAACATCCAGAAGTCAAATAGAAACTGAAAACCAGAAAGAAGCCTGGTCTCTCGGTAATATAGTTTGTAAAATAAGTTCCAATTTCTACTATGTAGTTTCTTATATCCAAATATATCCCTTTATTATTTAGAGCATTAAAACCCTCGACAAATTGGACATCCAAGATGATCAAAATTGGATTTGAAATTAGAAAGAGCGCCCTCTATATTTGTCTACTTCCGAGAAATTATTGAACATCAGAAGGCAAAAGACACGTCTAAACAGTCCCTGTTAGATTAATCAGAAATCAGAATGAATCTTTTTTAAAATATGCCGATAGACTCTTTTGAAGTTCAAATATAAAATATGTTGAAGAAATTTGTTCTATTTTGGGACCTTGTGAAGTGTGTTTCATTAGCCAAGACAACAAAGCCAGAGTTTCGAATCACAGCAGCCAAAAAACAGGCGCCGCTGTTGATGCGTTTGGAGTACCAGGTAACTCTCCCGGACCACGATTGGGTCGTGGCTTCTAAAAACTAACTTATACCATCTGTATATTCTAGAATTACTATCAAAAGAGATAATAAAATAGATGCTGTTACTTATTCTGGACCAACCTAAACTTATAATCAATAAGGAAAACACGCATCCTCGTCCGCTTTTGCTCATGACTTTCAACGGATCTTGGATAGCAAAGAATATGACTTTATTACCAGAGGTTATCAAACTAATATTGTTAAGCCTATTGTGGTATTTAGTGTCAATTTCGAGACCCGACGAAAATCCCAGATACCAGAAAGTAATTAAAATCGGAATTCATCATTTCTTGAGGAATAACCTGGACTCTCTTCATCATGGCAAACTCTCCGGGACGCAGTGCATTCAACCGAGCTGAGCGACAAATGGTACTTCTAAGTAGTGAATTATTAGGGAAAATTAGAGAAAAAATCTAATGGTGAATTGAAATGAAAGGTGATTCTTTCACATGAGCATTACGGAACTCATCTTGATTTTTAAGGTAATTACAAATATTTATTGGCAAAAGTTTTTGTAATAAATAAAATAATTTTTTAACCTATAATAACCATTATATCTTTTTAAATCTGGCACGACAATACTTTGGTTTTGCCGGACAGGCTTTAGTATATATTTGTTCTGGCCTAAAAATTGACGGTTATCCAACCACTTCAGAGTATATTAATCCAGAGCAATCAGAGCTAGAGTCAACATTTTATTACAAGATCATTACAACATTTTATTACAAGATCAACCTTGCCCATTATCTTCGTACGAGTCAATATTTTACTCGAATTATGAAATGCAAAAATTGTTCTTGTTGTCAGACGAAACTCTTACTTTACTCTAATTAGATTTCTTCCGCCACTTGTTCCTGTCAGCCAAACGAGAGATGGTCTCGAAGCAGCAAATATCTCAGAAGAAGCTAAAGAATTGTTTCCATTATCCTTGTTTATGCTCATTGCATCAAACAATGAAAGTTTGATGCGATGAGCCATGGGAAGACGATGAAGGAGTGAATTTATATTATAGATATATAATAAATTTTGCTTAGTTTGATTAGTTTGTTTATTATTTGATGAAATATCAACTGTTCTATAGTATAATTTGCTAAGGTCTACTTCTATATAAATGTATAATTTAACCAGAATAAAATTAATGGTGTTTACGCATATTTTAAATGTTATTTTTGGGCCGGGGGGATACAAAAACTGACATCATTTATAATGAGGGGAGGGGATTGGCCAAAAATTGACCGAATTTGACAAATGCAATCATAAAAATAAAAGAAACTACTTTATAAACTTTCTCCAAATTATTTATTTTTGATATTGGGATGCTTTTCGCAAATACATCTTACAAACAAAAACCACGCAATCACTTGATACACAATTTTTTTGAATGATTTTTCTAATATACTAAAGTTTGTTAATTTTTAATTTTTGTTACTACAAAACCATTGAGTTTAAAAATATGATAGCCTTTTAAGGCAATAAAAATTGAGAATTTTATTAATAGCTATTGAATCAAAAACAGTTTGTATACCTGATAGCTACTGTAATTAAATGGCCTAGTTTGTTACATTTCAATTGCAATATAGAGTATTTACATTGCAAAACATTATTTTACAAATATTCCTGTAAATATTCCCAATAAAGAGCATTACTGAAGTCTCAAAAGATTTCAGTAAAGCCGATTCTCTATTCAGATTATTTTGGAAATTTTCAGGCGAAAAAGTATTTTGAGCATGCACAAAGGATATTAAATAAGCAAGATCTAATTATTTGACATGGGTATAGCGTCTCTGAGGGTTTTTGCTTTTAAAAACTACGTTCTAAATGTCTTTTAAACGTTTTTTAAACGTTTTTTCAAACATCTTTTAAACGCTTTTTGCGTTAGAATGTTTAGAATACGTTTAAAAAACGTTTAGAACATAACTTTTAAAAAATTATGCCCTTAGAAATTTTTCTTTGACAGAACTTTGTTCTAAAGCGGGAAAAAATCTAAATAGTAAAGCCGATTATCCAGTCGGCAAGTTTCCAAAATGTTTTTTGAGTATGCGCAAACAGCGTTAAATAAAAAGCTAGAGGAAAGTTATGACCTAAGCCAGCCAAAGTATTAATATTACAGAAAGAAGTTCAGCATTGATAAGTTTTCCTTTTTTTTTTCCCTGCCCGCTCTTTATTTTAAACTGTTTGTGCATGCTTGAAAAAATTTTCCGCCGAGAAATTAAAAAAAAAATCTGAATGAAGAATTGATTTAATTCGGCTAAAGGAAGCGTAAACTTCCTCGTAAAGCTCTTCCGCTGCGATTTGTGACGGGTTTATAGTCTCAGTTCCGTTCTGTAAATTATCACATAATCGTTTAGTAAGATAAATACTTCGAACTTAAGTTAGTGATAAATTTGGTTAGGAAAAATATTTTGCGTTGAAAAAATTTTCCATCAAAGATTTTATATCAAAGTAAAATCAATATGTCATATTCTACTTCTCAAATTTTTTCTCAAATCTTCTCAAATTCTCGAAATGTTTACTTTTCTAAACAATTTTGAGATAATTTGCAAAACGGAACTGAAACTATAAATCCGTGTATATAAGGTTTTTTTAGAACACCTTAATAAACTGAAGATAAAATTAAAAAAAATAATAATAAAAAATAAATTTAAAAACAAGGTCTTACATTTGCATAGTGCGGCATACAAAGCGCAAAGCAAGCACAGAACCAAGCTTGCCATAAAACAACCACAAACAAGATAAATGCAACCACTATCGCACATTTTTAAAACTATACATCGAGTAACTCTTAGATAAATAAATTAACGTAAATTAAAGAAACATGGAAACGTATGCACCTAATATTTCTTTATCATTTTCCGTCAGATATGGCAACATCGAAGCATATACGAACTTTCTTAAAAAAAAAGATTTTTTTTTAAAGAAAGTTCTTTTATGCTTTTTTTAAAATCAATTAAAGTAAGAAGTCACATGACCAAGATTGTTTTTGCAGTAGAATGCTATTACATAACGAAAAGGTTTGAAAGAAAACTTAAGATAAAGAAATTAATTTTGAGGAAGACTTTAAAAATTATAATTAATGCAAGTCATCATTGCAACCAATATAATTTTTTGAACATACCTATGTCTCAAACAAACAGTTATTTTGTTTACAATATTAATTTATTAACGAAGAGCATTTTAATTCAAGATTTAATTATTGGAATATTTCTTGTACAATAAAATGTCTTGTACAATAAAATCTTCTTGAACAATAAAATGTAAAATAAAATGTTATTGATAAATAGATAATATCTCATTATATGTAGAAATAGTTTTTTGAATTTTTGTCTCCAACAAAATATCTCACTGTTTAAATATAACAATAACATTTTGTGTCTATCTATGTACTATAAATAGAAAAAGGAAATTCTCAAATCGCTTTAGCAATTAAAATTTTACTTTGTCCGAATTGTATTAATAATTACTAAATGAGCAAATTCATTTCGGTGGTTTTGAGTTATGTACGTAACTATCATAGTAATTTAGAAAAGTTATAGTCTATGAAAGAATATTTTTGTCTAATTGGGAACTTTGAAAAAAAATTAGCAATCAATATGTTATATTTGTTTAAGCATTTTATATTATGATCGTTATAAAATGAAATCATGTAAAACAACATTGTATGTGATATCATTTTATAAAAAAAAATTTTTTAGTTTAAACTCCATAAACACTAAAACAAATGTACGAAAATTCAATAAATTTCAAAAGTGTAAGGTGGTAGATATAAAATGTGGGTTTGACGCAACTTTTAATTAGTGTTGGCGTCAAAGTTTTGACAAGAAGATTAGATTTTGAATAGAAAACTTTTTGTGACTCAAACACTAGCCACAATAAACATTTTTTAACTATTATTTTGTGGCACTTAGCTTCGACTATAATTGACGGAAGCACCTGTATCGCTGTCGAACCTAGTTGCATAATACTCAACGTCGCTAGTGTCCGTTGGCGCATATTGAAGATTAGCAGCCGTGGCGCAGTGGTAGCGCACTTGCCTCAGAAGCGTAAGATCCGTGGTTCAAACCCCACCTCTGAGCCATCGGTGAACTTCCTATTAAATGCTTTTCCGCGGTGCTCTGTGATAAGACCATAAGGACTTCTTGGGGCACCTAAATCAATTTAAGGTGGTAGACCACTATTAAAAGTCAAAAAATCAAGATTTATTTAGCTTTTAGAATACATTTTTACAAACAAAAAACACTAGTTTACTATAGTTCAAAAATGCGCAGATAATCTACTATCATAAAACTGGCTGTGTCTATAAAAGTTTTCAAAGAAAGTACTTACGACTTGCTAAGAAAGTAGATTATTTGGGAAATTTATTTACCCCTCACCGCAACCACACCCCAACACACCTCAAGGTCCACAGCCGATGAAAATAGTTCTAATTTGCTACCTGATTTATTTTCGACTAACAGATTTTCTCTATCTACTGTACAAACAAGTTGTGTCAATAAACACGCTTTGAAGGATGTTGATGTAGCCAGCCACTACAAAGAGGTTGAACCACTAACAAGTCCGCAGTAGAAAATGCAGATGCATTTGGTTGCGTATGATAAAGACCTGGCCTTCTGATGTAGCTGTGATTGCTTTAGATTGATTCTAGGTGCTGCCACTCATATTTTTAAAAAACAAAATGTGCAGGTGTGATTGGAAGAGGTTATACCTGTACGTTATGTGTTGCAAAAAATTCCAAATTAAGATTTTTTTTAATAATTTATTTTGTCACTAAATACACATTTTACTGTTTTCTATAACTTCCAAACATTTTTGAATAAATAAAAGGTATATTTATAAGTAAACATTTAATAAAATAAAATAGATTTGAAACAATCACTAGAACAAGTAGAAAAAAAAAGCTTTACCATCAAGTCCCTTTATTATGCACTTTTAAAAAAGGTTTTCATGTGAAATGAAGTCTTAATTTGGCTGAACAATCATTGGGCGCACTATATCCAAGAGATGCTAGTGGCTGTGCGTGCTTTAATGGGCAACTGGCTAAGTGCTTATAAATTTCTTTAGGTGCTCAAAGAAATCCTTACGGTCTTATTACAGAGGACTGCGGAATAGCATTTAACTAGAAGATAGATCAATTATACATATATGGCCAGAGCTGGCTTTAAACCACGGACCTCCATTTTTGAAGCCAGAACTCTAACCACTACACCGCCGCTGCTTTAATGATAAGATCATTGCGTTTAGTGAAGGGTGCGCTTAATAGATGATCTTACTTGATTAATAATATAAATTCCAAAAATGCTATTAAATCTGTTAAGATTGCTCTCACTCGTAACCTGGGAAACCATCGATAATATCTAACTTATAATATCTTCTGGATATTATTATATCTCCTAGAATAGAGATTGTGTAAATTCAAACTTAAGTCTAAAGGTATTTGGACAAAATGACAGTTGATTTTTCAATTGAACGTTTTGCAAGTGAAGGCTGAACATTTTTTCCATTTCAAATAGGTTTGTAAGACACGGGAAAAATTTTTGTTCGTTAACATGATATTTTTTTCAAAAAATTGGAGTGATTAGAGTACAGAAGCAAAAATACCTTGAAAAACGCTCTCAGTAACTCTAAGAACGTTCTCAAAACGCCCTCCTCTTCTTAATAGAGAAAACCTAATTTAAAAAAAATAATTTTATTACATTAAATAGTATCATAATTTATGAGATTTCAAATTTTGTTAATTATATTTTGGCGCTCTACAAATATGGCGATATTTAAAGTTTAGCACCTTCATTTGAAAAAGAGTCAAAAATAACAAAATAGTTTTAACGCGTTTTCATCGGTTTCTATTGCATGGTAAGCTACTAAAAAGAGCGCTTAAAACTAAAATAAAAAATAACTAAAATTGAAAAACTTCTAAAAAAAGCAGAGAACTGCTATTGGATTTATTCTACTCTAAATGTTTCAATGTAAAAAGTTAGTTGCAGAGTTAAAAAATATATAACATAAAATATAATATTAAAAATATTATTTATGATAATATCATATTAATAACTAATATTAATTATCAAAAATCAAATGAAGACTATTGAGTTGGAAACAAATTCAACATTTAATAAGTTCACATTTGTTTGCATTACAAAATAAGTTTACACATAAGCGACATTTAAATTTGAGGCGAAGAAAAACTCCATACAATCTCGATCACCTAAAATTGTCTGTGACGCTATTGTGTGTTGGCTGAAGCATATAATCTTGTCCATGCACGTGCTATAGTTTAAACATCAAAAAATAATTTAAATCAAAATAAATTTAAAATAAATAACACTGAAAAACTAATAATAAACAACAAGTTAGTAATGAAGGAAAAGAAAAATTCAAAATATTTATTATGTTAACTATGTTAAACTGAATATAATTCATACCGGTTAATATTAAACGATTAATCGGTACCGTTTTACGGGTTAACTTACCAGTTTCAATAGCTTGCTCTTCGTTAACTTTCCATTTTTCTGCAACATCGTTTGCTAGCGGATCGTCTGGGTTTGGCGCACTAAGTAGCGCTTGAATTGAAAGAAGTACCGTTCTTATTTGCAAGGCCGGACTCCATTTATCTAAAAATTAAACACTTTCATTGTTTATTGAAATTTTAATTTTAATATCGTTAAAACATTACAAACTGTAAAAAAAAAATAATAATAATTTATATATTTATACATTTTAGAGTAAAAACAACATGTTTTTAAAACTTACTTTTAATGATAATTAAAAAAAAACTTTTATCTAGAGGTGCTGCTCAAAAATCTTGAACGTTTAGCAATACAGTTACCCCATGTTTTAGCTACACAGTTATCTCATATTTATGCTTTGTAATTTTCTTTTTACACAAATTAACGTACTAATTTAAATGTTATAACAGGAGTCTGTGAACGAACTATTGATAAACTAGCTTTTCACATTAGACAGTGGAAAAGTTGTGATAAAGCTATTATGCATTAGAATGTTGCAGAAAATTTAAATAAAAATTAGAAATAGCAATTTAAAGAAGAATCATACAGATAATTATTATTTATTATTATTATTATTATTAAATAAAATAGTTATTATCCTAGCATTTATTTAGGACTCCTGGACTTAATTTATCTAGGACTCCTAGGACTCCTGGACTTAATTCGCAAACTTTATGAAGAAAATTCAGTTTTCTATTCAAACTAACTTAAGTATGCTTTTTTATCATTTTTTAGTCTTTTTTTCAATTTGCGTAGAAACTATTTTCAAGTTCAGCTTCTTTATTATTGTATAATAATATGCTTCTAATGTACAATAATCAACTTTTATTGCAGAACATTCAACTTTTATTGGAAAATAATCAACTTTTGTTGCAGAACATTCAGCTTTTATTAAACAATAATCAACTTTTATTGCAGAACATTCAGCTTTTATTAAGTGTTATTAGGAATTTGAAATAACTCAACTGTGGACTAAATCAGGTGTTTTTCAAAGTCGACTAAAATGTTGACTAAAATGTTGACTAAAATGTTGAAAATTTTGTGGAAATCGACTAAGTTGACAAAAAGTCGATTTAGTCGAAATATTTGAATTTTTTAAAATTATAATATTTTAATGTTGCTTGGCAATTTATTTCTTAGATGAAATAAATAGAACTTTAAGAGACTAAACAAAAAATTAGGTGGTATTATTCTATTAGATTAATTTAAATCAAGAATAAACAAACAAAACACAAATTACAATAGAAAAAAATAAGATTTTTATACATCTTGGTTTAACAAGACACTCTGTTCAGTCAAATCTGGTTTAAGTCTATTTTGCCGTTCTGTAATGATTTCGGCAGCACTTGAAAATAACTCTTCAGAAGGCGTCGATGAAGCAGTTATACAAAAGAGCATCTTCACTATCTTTGACAAAACAGGAAATTGGCATAAATTATTTTTATAAAATGCACGGGGACATGAATTTTCTGATACATTTTTATATATATTTAAATAATTGATGATTTTGTTGTCTACTACTGATAACAAAGCTTCTGATGACACTGTTTCATTGCATAACAATATTTTTCTTTTTCTTTTGATGGACTTCTTTGACTAGATAACGACTCTTGGCTAGACAACTGAAGGCTTGTTGGTGTTAGCTGCAATTCATGGCTCAACTGAGCAACATAAGAATGAGCTTTTTTAAGACAAGAAATTTTCGCTGTTTTGTTCGATATAAATTTAAAATTACGAAATCGCAGATCTAAAAATGTAGCTGTGTACAACATTTCAATTTTAAGAAAATCCTCACATCTTCAATTAAAATTATCTTTGAATTTGATGGCAAGATTCATAATTGTACGATTATTTGATTCACTTTTGAAGTTAGCAAAGTAATCAGTTAATTTATAATGGCTGGTAATATAATTGAACAAGTGGTATATTTTGATCTGCTCAAAATTTTTGTAAAATCATGTATTGGCTCTAATAAATCAATACGCTCGTCAACGATTTCCAGTTCCCAGCTTTTTAATAACAAATCCTTATTATCTTTGTTCACTGGCTTGATAATAACACCTTTGATCGATTTGCTAAGTTTAAAAACTGACTGCAACATTAAAAAGGTCGAATTCCACCAAGTAGCAACATCTTATTTTAATTTGTTAATTGAACATTTATCTTCTTGATTGTCAATTTTCATATTATTTAACACAATTTACAAGCAATGAGCAGAAAGCTTATAACTATGTTTAAATAAGCTAACGAGTTTCCTACATTTCTTTAAAATTATGAAAACGCAATGATTTTCGCCAGTTGATAGCTTATTCTCTTTTACAAGAACATCTTTAACAATTAAATTTAATATATGACAAAAAACAAGGTATGTACAATTTATTAATTAGATCTTCTAGACAATGTTTGATATTCACAGCAGTGTCACTACTCATTGAAAGTGTTTTATCCCTTATTTTCCATTCATTTAGAATTAACTCAATTTGCTCCATTAAATATAGGCTAGTATGGGCTTTTGGGCTATGCTTTAATGCAATACGAATCGATTTCAAACAATTTTGATCAACAAAATATACTGGGACGGTGTATGAATGCAAGGCTTGCAATGTCCATCTATCCATGGTTAGATGGCAAAATTCAACTTGGTTTAAAAGATGCATTACTTTTACTTTAAATGATTCAAATTTAAGCGGCACTATTTCATACCAAAACTTTTGTCTTGTTGGCAATTTGTACTTGTTATCAAATGAAGCTAGCATTTTAATAAAATACTTATTATCAACAATTGACAGTGGTTGACCTGTTTGAAGAACAAAGTTACACATAGATTCCTCTAAATCTCTATATTTCTGCGAACTTGAACAATATCAGTAAGAGTTTGCAAATGCAGCTTTGATAGATACATGACCAGTTGTTGTACTTGGAAGTTTAGACTCTTAAATATTAATCCAATGGTTACTATACAAATGATTTGCCATTGAGCTTGTATTTTTATTGTATTTTAGCTTTTTGTTGCAAATTTCGTTTGTTAAAGTATCTTTATATTTATGCATTGTTATTGTAGAGTCATTGTTTTTTACAAAACAATTCCAGACTTTACTTTTATGAATGTTTCGATTCGACATTTGATTTCTTCCATAAAAAGAGAATAAGAATAATATAGCTATTACAATTAAGTCAAAAAAGTCACGGCTTTTAAGTGTGTTCAGATAAGAATTCCTTCATGCAGAAATAATGTCCTAAAGGATTTGCATGAGTAAGTACCATTATTATTATTAGAATTATTCTAATCGTTATTAATTTCTAAATGGAGTTAAACCAATCATTTAAAATGTCCATTGGGAATTATTATTATATGTATCAATCAATAAAAAGAATTTGATTGAATTTATTGACTTATTGAATTTTAATTGAATAAAAACAAAGAGAATTTAAAAAAAAAGATTCTTTCTGTATCATTTATCAAAACAATTTGTATAGCGTAAAAAGCAAAAAATTTGTATAGTGTAATTTTTGTGGCGTAACAAGGTGGAAGCTGGTAGGGCCAAACTTTTTTGTGGATTTATAAAACTTTGTATCTTTTTGGCATCGTTAATTAATGACACATTATTAAATATTTTTTTAAAGAATCTACTTTTTATAACGAGTCAGTATAACGAGAAAAAATAAAAATTAATGTAGTGGCACAGCATACAGTAAGCTTAGAGCTGAGTTTATGTGAAACAGCAAATTGAGTTCAATGTTCAGATAATTTAGTTGAATTAAAAACCCAGTTATGAATAATGATCTTGCGCGTGGCTTAATCTTTACAAATATTTTATCTTTATAAAATAATCTACTTATAAGGATATATCTTTACTAATTGGTCAGCATCATAATAAAATTAAACATTTACAAAGTTAAATCAAATGAAGAGATAAAGATAAGAATTATAGGACCTGACTAAATCGACTTTTAGTCGATTAGTAGACAATTTAAAGTTGAATCAAAATATTTAAAGCCTTAAGTTGAAATGTGTCAAAATACATTTAACTTTTAATTTTTATAACGGTCTTATGTCAACTTTAGGAGCCTTTAGAATAATCAACTAATGATAAAAATATGCCAGCAATATATATGATAAATATGTATATGATACTTATTTATGAATATTGCAAAATTATAGATATAAATACATTAATTAAACATAAATTTTAAAATTAGAAATAACATTTACCTATGCCTATTTCAACAAACTTGGAAAAATAAAACATAAATAAAATGAACGTGAATAAATAAAATGAAAATAAATAAATAAAATGAATAACCTTTAAGAATATCCAAGCATATTCGTCCTAATTTATCGACATTTGGATGATATATTTTTGTAAGAAATCTAACTTTTGGTGCAGCCATTGGATACTCTTCAGGAAGAAAAAGCTCTAATTTGAAAATACCACCTTCAAATGGAGACTAAAAAAAATGTTGATAAATTGTAAATAAACAATAAATAAAAAGATTTGAGTTCACTGATACATTGAAATTTTAAAATAGTATAAATGTAGTACCTCTCCAGGACCTGCAATTGTCACATGAAAATATCTAGCATTCTGTTCATCAGGAACTGCTGTGATGCCCTTAACAGGTTCAGTCAACAAACGATTAGTTTCCTATTTAAATAAATTTAAATCTTTTTAGGTTAGCTGCACTCAATAAACCAATCATTAAAAAAAGAATAGAATTTGTTACTGTTTGGTATACCAAATATTTTTATCTTTTCTGTTGTATTTGGCTTGAAAATATGTTCTTTATAATTTAAAAATGAAATTTAAGTTTTAAAATTTTACAAAAATGATAATTCTAAATTAAATTATAAATAGTAACAAAAATTAAAATTAACAAAGCTGCCCCATACCCCAACTTCTAAAACAAAATTAATTTAAGAAAAGGCTATAAAAAAGAATCAATAAACGCAAACCTAATGGTAATTTTATAACAATTTTTTATTTATTTTAATATTGTGGATTTTTTCTACTTCAGTCTCATATTGAAAATGCATGGAAGGCCAGATTGCAATAGTATAAACCCAGACCAGATTGCAATAGTGTAAACCCAGGCCAGATTGCAATAGTATAAACCCAGGCCAGATTGCAATAGTATAAATCCAGGCCATATTGCAATAGTATAAACCCAGGCCAGATTGCAATAGTATAAACCCAGGCCAGATTGCAATAGTATAAACCCAGGCCAGATTGCAATAGTATAAATCCAGGCCATATTGCAATAGTATAAACCCAGGCCAGATTGCAATAGTATAAACCCAGGCCAGATTGCAATAGTATAAACCCAGGCCAGATTGCAATAGTATAAACCAAGTTTTAAAATTGGTTGATTCTCTAACCTAAAAGTTTTAATTTTTTTCCGATAAAATTTGTCCACAAACCTCTTTACCTCTTTACTGGATACTAAAAACCGGGAAGAAATATTCATTTTTTAAACTTTCAAAGTATTTTTTGATTCCGCATCCCTGATTTTAGTGTTGCATAATGATATAGTATTGAATATTTTATTAATCAAGCAAACATCATTTCAGCTTATACTGTAAAGAACAATTATATTTTTTTAAATATAAGAAAGAAACAATTTGTTTCTAAAAATTTGTGTTCGTGTGTTTGTGTTAGTTGCATCCTTTTACCTGGACAGATAGAGTAAAAGAATGCAACTTTGTTGAATGACAAGCCAACCAAGAATGAGTTTTGGTTCATTGAACTAGAGATGATAGCTTGTTTGAGCAGATACCATGAAAGTATTTTTAAAAACGATGTAAGAGTGGCTCAAACTTGGCAGATAAGGCAGGTTCAACTATATTTACAATGTACTTTTGGATCTTGTCTGAGAGTGAGGGAGTTGTTAACATCAATATAGAAATGTCAACAATATTGTGATAGTTGTTGGCAGTAAATAACTACGTTTTGTTGGAGTTAAAATTCACAAGCCACTGTTTTCTCCTGTTACAGAAGAGAAATCAGATTAAAGATCAGCTGCTTAGCAACCTAAGAATCAGCTGCTTAGCAACCTAAGAGTAAAGACTTTTGATTGCTTGTTCTAAACAATCAAAATGTCAAGACAAGAAAATAAAGTTGAGTTATTAGCAAATAGAGTCACTTTAGATGTAATATTGTCAGGAAGATTGTGACTGTAAATATGAAACAATACAGGAGCAAAGATAGAACCTTGCAGCACTCCTAAATTTACTGGAAATGAAGAAGAGTGTTGGCCTTTGAGAATGACTTTAATACTGTGGTTAGAAAGAAACGATTTAATAATCTTAAAATTTTTATATGAAGAAGACTAATACTAGAGAGAAAACTAATCGCAGGATAGTTCGAGAGATTAGAGTATTTTCTAGAGTTAGAAAATATTGGAAGCATTTATTTACTACTTAATAATAGTTTAGCGAGGAATGAAGAGAATTCTGGAGAATCTTTTGTAAGACTATGATGGAAATGTTGTCTGAACCACAAATTGTAAAAGATAAAATTGAAAATTGACTTTAACATGATTTGGATGACTACCTATTTGAAGCTGATTTGGATGACCATTAGATTTAAGAGTCAAATTAGAGAAAAAGTTCTTTGCAGATGCTTTATACTGAGGAAAAGCAATAAGATCAGACCCATTTATGAGGTATGGAATGTTAGACTTATTTTAGTTAATGACATTGGTAAAGATTTTCCAAATATCACTTTTGGAAAATCTTTACCTGTGAGATAAGATTCAAGATTAAACTGATGACAGAACTTTTACATTAAATTCTTGCAATAATAAAAAGATATTTGTTTTCAATTCCAGCAAGCACACAACGTTGTGCTAAACTTGTATTTATGTTAAAATTGCGATTTACGTTACTTAATATTAATTCAACATTGAGTCAACGTAATATTTTTAACTTATGTTAAGTCTACGCCTTACGTTAAGCTAGTCTTACATTAAGCTAACGTTGACACAACGTTTAAAAAACATAGAAGTATTAACCTAACATTCTAACGTTGAGCAAACATACGGACAACGTAAAAAAAGAAATATTAACGTAATTCAGCTAACTATAAAAAAATCTACTGTAATTAATTTTTTTTTTTTTTCTTAAAGATGGCATATCAGAATATAAAAAATAAGTTTAGTTAAAAGATAATTAGCTAAGTTTGAAGGTTTGCATTGTCTTTTAAAAGACATTCGAGGAATTTTCAAAAAATATTTGAAAATAAACAGCGCACATTTATTTAAAACTTTTATATTAAAACTTTAAATTGCACATTTATTTAAAACTTTAAATTGCTGATTAAAAGATTAAATGTTTAATTAAAAAGGTTTATTTTAGAAAAATAAATATATTATTGGTTAGCCTCTAAATATTAACCTGCTTATTGAATAAATGGTTAACAGTAAGTATTGTATTTCTGAATAAATATTTTATGGCAGTGTTTACTTACAGTTCTTTTCAGATTAACCATAAATACTAATCTCGATACCATTTAAATTTCAAATTTTTATTTTTTTAAATTTTGCTTATACAAATATGAAAAATACACAGAAAAATATTTTCATATTATTATCAGTGATGGAGTGAAACATTTGTATTAGGGTATTTAAAATATTCATTATAATTTTTCTTTTAATCTCATTTTAAGCTTTAAAGGGTTGTGCAACTATTTTATATTGTTTTAACGGAATCAAATTTTATTGCTTAGTTTAGACTTTTTAATAATAAGAAGGAGTAATATGTCATATATTTTACTTTAGATGCAAGGGAATTACAAACGAATATCAAGTCAGTTAGAGCCTAATGCTCATGCAATTAAAGCTGCTATGACAACCCTTTGAATCTGATAGTTACTCACTCTGAGCAATATAGTAAAATATATTTCAAATTAAATTAACTGCGGAAAATAAATTTCAATAAACTGGTCACTGCTTATTTTTCGACTAACAACGTAAGTATATTATTAATTTGAAACCGGAAGGTTAATTTTTCAAATATAATCAACAAGCACCTGCTATGCATTAAGTGTTTAAAAAAAATCAAATTATAAAATAAGTAAGATGAAATGTATTTTAAAATTTTAATTTATAGAAAGCATAGAGGGTCTTCAACAAAAAAGCTTAAATAAATGATCATAATGCAAATATTTAAAAGGTCTTTCCATTGGTAAATAAATGTCAAACAATATGTATAGAAAACGCAAGCAATTGTTAAGCAGTTACATTTATTATTGTTTAGTTTCTTTTTGTATATTTATAATATATACTATACCTGTAATCTTGTATATTCACATTTTTAGTATTAATTTGTATATTATTTAGTTATGCTTTAGTTAACATGATGTATTTAACTTAACGTTAAACTAATGAACTTTAAAAAAAAATACAAATGACATTATTTTGCAAAAGTTTAACATTAACATTTCGTTGTTGAAAAACCTGTAATACCTAATTTTTATTTTCAGATTTTATTTTAAGCTAGTTTTTATTTTAGCCTAAATAGTCATAGCTAATAAAGGCTGGCATATGCTCTAACTATCTTTCCAAAAATTGTTTTCAGCCTATTTCCTGGCTCAATTATGACTATTAATTATTACTTTTTAATAAGATTTTTAACTTTAGGATTTTAATTATGATAAAAACATTCAACTGTATGATTTTAATTATGACAATTATATACAAACATTTAACTATATGAGATTAATGAGCTAGCAAGTAAAAAAACTTACTTTGATCAATCGTAGTTTGATAAGAGGATAAGAATATTAACTCTTCAAAGTTTACGAAATATAAAAATATTAACTCTTCTAAATAAGTTTTTACCTGTTTTTTTTATTAATAAAAATTGAGGTTTTCTTATTATTATTATTTTTCATTGTGTTCAGTTTTCATTATTATCTTTTTATTTTTAAAACTACTAAAATTTATGTTTGTTTCAGAATAATAAAAATGAATAAACAAGAGAAAAACCAATACTTGAGGGAATGTCACCAGAGTAATCAAGCCTTAAATAATATACTTGTAAATAAAGAAATTGACAACTCATTGCATGACAAATCCAATATTAATGAAGTCGAGAGTTGCATTGGTTTCAAATAGGGCTGAACCGAATTTCGGCTCCGGCTCCTGCTCCAGCCAAAATCCGGCCATTTTTAAAAATCCGGCCCAAATCTGGCTCCGGCAAAATGTTAGCATATCCGGCATAACTTTGGCCGGATTTCTGAATTTTGGTCAGATATTTATTACATCTTTCTTGCCCATGATAACATGTATACTTAATACTTAATTTTTACAAATCAATTTTTTAGTAATTTTATAGTCTATGAACTTCATGTTTGTTTTGGTATCTGTATTAACATTTATTTACAATTTAATTAGCTAAACCTAATTTCAAACAACAACGCAACAAAAATTCTGAAGGGAAGACACACGATATTCTGCTATAATGCAGGTGTAAAGACTATGAAATCTATCCTAATCAAGTTATTGGATGAGCGTTTTAAAGACATTGAGGAGAAACCTTTTTATATAGTGGTGATACTGGTTGATCCATAACTTCAAACTAGACTCTTATCATTACAGGCAACACTGACAGGTGAAAAAGCAAGATTGAAGTCAATCTGATCATGCT